GGCCAAAAAGCTGAACTGGAGACATTCTCCAAGTCAGCTATGCATCCAATTTGGCTATTTTGTCCTTAAATTGAAATTTACTTTAAAGTTGTACTGTAGTGAATAACCCGGAAAATGTTCATCAAATATGTGTCTTGGTTTTAACAACATTAAATTAATTATTTAACTCCCTAATATTAATGTCCAATGGACTACAACAAGAGAGACATAGATCAACAGCCGGCACAGCTTAACCCTTTCACTGACTGAGATATGCCGTGCATTAGTTTACTCCACAACAATTCACTATTTATACCCAGCCCTGAAAGGGTTTAAAGGAATATTTGCAGCACCTTAACCAGTCCTCTGCAGTAGTGATGGTACTAGGAGTGCCCTCGCACACCCCAGTGTAAGTAGCCAAAGAAGGAGCTTCAGCTGAGCTCTCTCAACCAGTGAACTAAGCCATGGACCACCATGGTTTAGCTCAATGCATGAGCTTCTGGGTCACAAGTGGATGCTCCCTGTCTCAAAAAGTTTGACTACTTATCCTGAGAGGGCAGTAGGGCACTCCATGTACTATAACCACTGCAGACTGCTGGTGCTTGGAGGATTCCCTTCAGGGAGTGTGTACTATACAGCTACAGAGAAACCAGGGGATGAGGCCTTAGGATGGTGTCTGTGAGATATAGTATGGACTGAATCTATTGGTATATTTGAAACCTAGCAACGGCCACAGAAAAAAAACACTCCAAAGAACAAACCGAAATCAGTATAACAGGATAAATTTGAAAAAAATAATTTAATGTTTTAATAAAATTAACAATATACAAAATATATGTGTGTAGGAAAACAATGGTGGTTCTGACAAGTGTGAAGGCCAGTGAACCATGCATGTTGTTAATGTGAGTTTCACTGTGTATTTTATTTGGCAATGATGAAACTACCAAGTGTAATTCTAAATCATGTTTTTATGCCACCGTTAATGTGTTTGTTTCATAACATGGGATTGCCTTTGTATCTGAATAAATATTTTGTTTGCTCAAGTGTTAAACCTACCGATAGGCAGTGTATGACTGTTTGTGTTTGACTTTGCAGGATTGTCTGAATTTGTCTTTGATAAATGTTTGTGATTGTGTATATGTGTTTCTTTGTGCATAAAAGTTGGTGTTGCTGCCTGAATGATTTTGAATGTATTTATGTGAAGGAATCTGCAGCCTTGTCCCTGTTCATACGTTGTGTTTATCCATGTGTCCTTGCAATGAGTAGTCTTTTTGTTTGTTTCACTGCTCTTTTCGTCTAGATTCCAGTTCTACCTCTTTATGAATTTGCTCTATTGTTTTCGGTCCCTGGGATTTATGTCGAGGTACCCAGTTATTTTTTCTTAATTCCATCATATCCTGCACCAAAAATCGAATCCGCGAAGAGGTTTTCTGGTTTTTAATAAAGATGTCAATCTTGCTGATATAGTTGTCCAAGCGACACTGTCCATTTTCCAAGGATTTTCCAGTTGTAGTGAGCAAAATGCAGATACATTCCAATGACTCCTCGCTGTTCCTGTTTAGTAGTTTCATTAGGCAGTCTTTCATGGTGTCCTCAGAGAGTAGTTTTAATTTAAATAGCTCCCCAATAAATTTGATGTTTCCTTGGTATCGCCTGCGTGCTTTATTACAAGCATCACTTAATTCCTCTTTTAGTAGGGCCTTTTCCCTCGGTGATGTGGCAGCATCCAGTTCCTTTTGCAGTTTCTCAGTTTTTTCATTCCCATTTTCACCTCCCTCAAACTCCTTCTGGCAGAGTCTTATTAGCAGCCTACGGAATGTAATGCTTTCTTCAGGGTTGTCTTCCGTTGGGACCTCAAGCATCATTAGCCAGTTGCACATGCTGGCGTATACAACAGCAAAATGTGGCTCTGCTACTGCTTTTTCAAATATGACTTCTACAACACCTTTCAGTTGATATTCTGTATGTATAGAGAGGTCTTTCACCTGCTTGGTTAAGTGCTGGAATGTCTGAGGTGTGATTTTATTAAGAATACTGCGAACTTTGCGAACCAATTCTTGAGCCTTGGCAAGAGTGTGATCTTCATTTGCTCTTTTCATGGGAGGTTTCCAAGCCTTTTCAGATGTATGCGGTTTTACATTCTCACTTACTTGAAGGATTTTGCGAAGTTCTGTACCAGGAGCTTGCGGAGACATCATTTGGCCCATTCCACATGGCAGTCTGTAATTATCCTTAGCAGGGTGGATGAAATTTGCCGTTAGAGGTGTACATTTCCTGTTGGTAAATCGTGATGGATCTACTGGTCGAAGGTGAGGTCTAATGAGCATACCTTGGTAGAGTTTTGCAATCTCAGACAAATCCCTTGGCTCTTGTGTTATAGATTTGAATTTAAGTAAAGATTCCCTGTCATAGTGTATCCTTTCCATCTTTGATTCAATATTTTTCTTCTCTTGGAGTACAGGTACTGGAAGGTCTTGACTTTTCTTTCGAACTATATCAGCCTCACCAGGTGGCTCTTTTTCTTTGTCTTCTGGCAATGGCTGCTCTTCATGGCCACTGCTCAGACACACATGTTTTCCTGGCTGATTATTCTTCATCTCAGTTTGTTCCTGCTCAGGCGTAACCTTTTGATTGAATAGAAGCAACTCCTCTGGCTGAACAGTGGGGCAATCCAAAGTAGTTTTGGAGTGATAAATCACAGTGTCAGAGCTTACTGGTAGCTCCTCTAACATTTCACCAGTGCTTGATTTGGCAGGACAAACTGGGCCCACTAGAAGAATACCTGGATCTTGATCTTTGACAGCCTCCAGAGAATGTAGATTCATAGGCTCAGGTTGACAATCCAAAGTGGACTGTGGCTGACCAAGGTTTACTGGCAGCTCCTCTAACATTTCACTAGTGCCTGATTTGGCAGGACAAACTGGGCCCACTAACAGAATACCTGGATCTTGATCTTTGACAGCCTCCCGGGAATCTAGGTTCATAGGCTCAGGTTGACAATCCAAAGTGGACTGTTGCTGACCAAGGTTTACTGGCAACTCCTCTATCAATCCACTTGTATGAGGTCCGATAGTAGTAACAGGGCTTTCTAGAGAAGTGTTGTCTTCTAGATGTGTGATAACCTCTGTAGGCTCTAGAGAGGTAGGCTGTAGTAAAATAGCTGTAAATGTGTTCTGAGAATCTAGATTTATAGGCTCAAGTGGAAAATCTAAAGTGGACTGTGGCTGACAAAGGTTTACTGGCAACTCCTTTGTCAATCCACTTGTATGAGGTTTGATGGTAGTAAAAGGGCATTCTAGAGAAGTGTTGTCTTCTAGGTGTGTGATAACCTCTGTAGGCTCTAGAGAGGTAGGCTGTAGTAAAATAACTGTAACTGGGTTCTGAGAATCTAGATTTGCAGACTCAGGTGGACAATGTAAAGTGGACTGTGGCTGACCAAGGTTTACTGGCAACTCCTCTGTCAATCCACTTGAATGAGGTTCAATAGTAGAAACAGGGCATTCTAGAGAAGTGTTGTCTTCTAGATGTGTGATAACCTCTGTAGGCTCTAGAGACCTTGCCTGCAGCAAGTGACAGGGAATATCCTCTAGACTTGTGACCGCTTCAGGCTGTGGAATAATATTGTGTTTACAATACTCTGCAGAATACTTTTTTTCATTTTCCAGTTCTTTTTTGTCTACTTCTTTTTCTTGGACATTTGTAGCCTTTTTAGTTGTTTTATATTGTTTTGGACGTAATGTAGGCTTTACCTTAGAGAATAGGAATGGGTCTCTGCAATTAAAAAATAGGAAAAGTTAAAATACAGTTGTAACAATTATATCCTTTTCTCCCTTTCCATCCATCAGCCCATTTTGTCACTTATCTTATTCCTCTTCAGCTTTCCTCTCACTTTCAGTCCATCAGTTACCCTATCACTCGTTATCTATCAGTCATTATTGCACAGCTTATAGTGACACTATCAGATCATTTATGTTACGCACATTACATTCTGGTTACAGTAATTCCAGTAAATAGTTTACTTTGTACCATTAAAGCTTCTGTTTATATTAAAATACATATCTTATAGAAATTAGGTAATGCCTGGTAAGGCACTTTCTGTAGTATTTCCTAGTGATTTGTGATCACTGTATCTGTGGTTCTTCTCTCATTGGTTTCCTGTGTACACAGGCAGCCAGTAAGAGAACCAAGATATCGGTTTACTGAGGACACTGAAGGTTTATTTGGATAACCTTATAAGATTATGGTCAGTCATTCTGTGTCTCATGATACACTTACCTAGGTGGCCGAGCACATGTCATTAGTTGGTTAGTTTCTCTTGGAGTCACCCGAATATAGTATGGTACATCGGGAATCTTCTCCTCTTTTCCATATCTGACATAGTTATTATAATGTCTAAAGGGTTTGAAGAAAAACACACAAAAAAACAAAAGGTCAGGCTAATTCTTCCAGCACCCAGTGGAGAGGCTAAAATCTCAATTTGTTAAAACAAACATCAACAATAGAAAACAAAAAGATGTCTCCCCTTTGATTAATGTGATCACACAGTATTTACCTTTTATCAAGCACAGCAAATTTAGATGTAACAGAAGGGGGAAGGCAAAGTCTCTTTGTGGTTTTTTGGCAACATTTTAGACTTTCTTCCACAAACCCCTCATTCTGTTCCTGTGGCTCCCATCTCTTCCCTTTCTCAAGATCTGGAGAGATTTCCAGATTAGGTGATACCTGGGGGAATGTCTGGGGCTCTGCTTTAAGTGGTAGCCTGTTTAGGAAAGAAAGAGTGATTATTGGAGTTTCATATTTCACGTTTGATGTTATATTTCTGGAATAACTGAGTGTGTTTAGGAAATGATAGAAGAAGCCATTATATATTACAGGTTATTATTTGACTCATATTGTAATAATTAAATATTCCAATTTGAGATTTGTGATGTTGGCTCAGAAAGAGCATTGCCATCTTTCTCTATCTGTGTTTATTTTCTCATTGGTTTCCTGTGTACACAGACAGCCAGTGAGAGAACCAGGGTATTGGATTACTGAGGACACTGAAGGTTTATTTGGATAACCTTATTGGATTATGGTTGGTCATTCTGTGTCTCATGATACACTTACCTAGGTGGCCGAGCACATGTCATTAGTTGGTTAGTTTCTCTTGGAGTCACCCGAATATAGTATGGAACATCGGGAATCTTCTCCTCTTTGCCAAATCTGACATAGTTATTATAATGTCTAAAGGGTTTGAAGAAAAACACACCAGAAAACAAAAAGGTCATTAATAAATTGATGTTATATCTCTGGAATAACAGAGTGTGTTTAGGAGATGATACAAGAAGCCATTAGATATTATGCATTGCTATTTGGGTTGTATTGTAATGATTAAATAATTCAATTTGAGATTTGTGATGTTGGCTCAGAAAGAACATTGACAGCTTTCTCTATCTGTGGTTCTTCTCTCATTGGTTTCCTGTGTACACAGACAGCCAGTGAGAGAACCAGGGTATTGGTTTACTGAGGACACTGAAGGTTTATTTGGATAACCTTATTGGATTATGGTCGGTCATTCTGTGTCTCATGATACACTTACCTAGGTGGCCGAGCATATGTCATTAGTTGGTTAGTTTCTCGTGGAGTCACCCGAATATAGTATGGTACATCGGGAATCTTCTCCTCTTTGCCAAATCTGACATAGTTATTATAATGTCTAAAGGGTTTGAAGAAAAACACACCAGAAAACAAAAAGGTTATTAATAAATTGATGTTATATCTCTGGAATAACAGAGTGTGTTTAGGCGATCTCCCCCCTCCCTGACAAGGTAAGAAGCAGGGAGGGGGGGATAAAATAAAAAAAAATATAGACACATAAAGTTTAAAAAAATGCTCCCCCCCCCCACACACATCATCCAGGACTCACACACCCATCATCCAGCACACACACACATCATCCAGCACTCACACACCCATCATCCAGCACACACACACACATCATCCAGCACTCATACACCCATCATCCAGCACTCACACACCCATCATCCAGCACACACACACATCATCCAGCACACACACACATCATCCAGCGCCCTCACACGCCATATCCAGCAAACACACACACATCATCCAGCACTCACACACACACACATCATCCCAGCACACACACACACACATCATCCAGCACACACACACACACATCATCAGCACTCACACACACACATCATCAGCACTCACACACACATCATCCAGCACACACAGCACATCATCCAGCACACACACACACATCATCAAGCGCACTCACACACACATCATCCAGCCTCCACACACGTAATCCAGCACTCCACACACACCATCCAGCACTCACACACACCATCCAGCACTCACACACACACCATCCAGCACACGCACACACATCATCCAGCACTCACACACACACATCATCCAGCACTCACACACACACATCATCCTGCACTCACACACACACATCATCCAGCACTCACACACACATCATCCAGCGCACTCACACACATCATCCAGCACACGCACACACACTGCATTCATTATACACACTCTTCACTCCCTACAAACACACTACATTTACTATACACTCACTACAAACACACTACATTCACTATACACGCTCTGCATTCACTATACACACTCTGCATTCATTATACACATTCTGCACTCACTACACACTACATTCACTATACACACTCTGCATTCACTACAAACACACTACATACACTGCATTCATTGTACACACTCTGCACTCACTACAAAACACTAAATTCATTATACACAATTTGCACTTAGTACAAACACACTACATTCATTATACACACTCTGCACTCACTACAAACACACTACATTCACTATACACACTCTGCATTCATTATACACACTCTGCACTCACTACAAAAACACTACATTCACTATACACACTGCACTCACTGCAAACACACTACATTTATTATACACACTGCACTCACTACAAATACACTACATTCATTATACACACTGCATTCACTACAAATACACTACATTCATTATACACACTGCATTCACTACAAATACACTACATTCATTATACACACTGCATTCACTACAAATACACTACATTCATTATACACACTCTGCACTCACTAAAAACACACTGCATTCATTATACACACATTCACTACAAACACACTACATTCATTATACACACCCTGCACTGCACTATATGCATAGGAGTGTAATTTTTATTTTTTTTAAGGGGGGGGGGGGGCGGGAATCTTGGGTGAGTTCCCACACTTTTTTCCCCAGGACTTGACCCCTGACAGTATTTGTAAGCATTTGCAACACTTACAACAATCAAGTAACACATTCATATAAAATGTAAGTTACTTAGCCAGTCAATGGATGGGAATGAGTAAGTAGATAACTCCCTAATTCCCACGGTATATTCATGCCGCGAGTAGGGGTATGTCTAGTAAACAGTGAGCAGCCTGTGGCCCCCTCCCGAGCCCCCACCCGTGCAGCATGAGTGGGGGCTTCTAACCTGTAGGGGGACCTATTGCCCCCCCCCCAGGTGGGGGCCCTAAAGTTAAAAAAAAAGGGGGGGCGAGCTATTTTCCTTCCCCCCCGGCCCACACCCTGAGCGGTGGATGGAGACCCTAAATTAGAATAAGGAGGGGGACCTGTTGTCCTCCCACCTGGCCCACACCCCTCAGCGGTGAGTGGGGGCCCTAAATGAGAATATGGGGAGGGGGACCTATTGTCCTCTCCCCTGGCCCCCACCCCTGAGCGGTGGGTAGGGGCCCTAAATTAGAATAAGGGGTGGGACCTATTGTCCTCCCCCTGGCCCCTAATCCTAAACGGTGGGTGGGGGCCCTAAACTAGAATAAGGAGGGGGACCTGTTGTCCTCCACCCGGCCAACACCCCTGAGCAGTGAGTGGGGGCTCTAAATTAGAATAAGGGGTGGGACCTATTGTCCTCCCCCTGGACCCCACCCCTAAACGGTGGGTGTGACAGAACCATCTGTCTGCTTGTATTTTAATTGCATTCGTCTGTTTGTCTCCCGTTCGTATGAATGGCTGGTTTCTATAGCCCAGCCATTCGAATGACTCTTTTTTCCCGAACAAACCTGCCGAATGGACGGCCACCCAGGAGAGAAGTGTGCTGCTGGTTAACCTATTGATCCCAATTAGAACGTTGTGGTTAACCGCAGACACTTCTCAATTAAACCGAATTCAGGGTGGTCGTCGTTCGTATGTCGACCACGAGGCAGCGGCCATTTTAAACCAAGCGAAAGCCCAGCGGTGTTTGGCTCTATTTCTATGGAACTAAAAATGGACACTTTTTCTGCCGAACACCGCTGAAACAACGGAGCGCCTGGCTGCCTCCACGAAACCATACGAACACCGGCCGTTCGGGAGATTTGGAGCATACGAAAAGACTTAACCCAGATAGCCTTCCCATGGAGTCATTCGTATACCGAAAGACTGTAACAACTTTGACTCCATGGCGATTGAATTATGTGTGTGGGATCTGAGCGCTATTCGCTAATAATATGCACTCAGATCCAGGCTATCTGGGGATATGTGATACGAATGGGAAATGTTCGGTTTTTGTGAAGTTATATATTTTTATGTCTTTTGTGATTTTATATTTAAGATGGCGACTGGCTTTGTCCTGGAGTTAATTGAGTTACTTGGTAATTAACTCCAGGACAGAGGGGAGGGAATCATAATGCACTGTGGGTAAAATCTGTGGCTGTGTGTCTGGAATGTCCCCATATCTGTCTGTCATTTAAGTCTCCCATTTGGTCCCCTAGGGGAGTGTCCACCAAGTGGGAGACCTGCATAAATACGGGCAGGTAGCCCACAGTAAAGCCAGATCCTGTTTGACCCTCAATGCGGAGCTTCTGTCTCGTTATTGGGGGGATTTCTTCTTCACGTTTAGAGACTGCTGGATGGAACGGAAGCCGCTTGGTGAATATTGTTTGTCTCCCGTTCGTATGAATGGCTGGTTTCTATAGCCCAGCCATTCGAATGACTCTTTTTTCCCAAACAAACCTGCCGAACGGACGGCCACCCAGGAGAGAAGTGTGCTGCTGGTTAACCTATTGATCCCAATTAGAACGTTGTGGTTAACCGCAGACACCTCTCAATTAAACCGAATTCAGGGTGGTCGTCGTTCGTATGTCGACCACGAGGCAGCGGCCATTTTAAACCAAGCGAAAGCCCAGCGGTGTTTGGCTCTATTTCTATGGAACTAAAAACGGACACTTTTTCTGCCGAACACCGCTGAAACAACGGAACGCCTGGCTGCCTCCACGAAAGCATACGAACACCGGCCGTTCGGGAGATTTGGAGCATACGAAAAGACTTAACCCAGATAGCCTTCCCATGGAGTCATTCGTATACCGAAAGACTGTAAGAACTTTGACTCCATGGCGATTGAACTATGTGTGTGGGATCTGAGCGCTATTCGCTAATAATATGCACTCAGATCCAGGCTATCTGGGGATATGTGATACGAATGGGAAATGTTTGGTTTTTGTGAAGTTATATATTTTTATGTCTTTTGTGATTTTTATACTTAAGATGGCGACTGGCTTTGTCCTGGAGTTAATTGAGTTACTTGGTAATTAACTCCAGGACAGAGGGGAGGGAATCATAATGCACTGTGGGTAAAATCTGTGGCTGTGTGTCTGGAATGTCCCCATATCTGTCTGTCATTTAAGTCTCCCATTTGGTCCCCTAGGGGAGTGTCCACCAAGTGGGAGACCTGCATAAATACAGGCAGGTAGCCCACAGTAAAGCCAGATCCTGTTTGACCCTCAATGCGGAGCTTCTGTCTCGTTATTGGGGGGATTTCTTCTTCACGTTTAGAGACTGCTGGATGGAACGGAAGCCGCTTGGTGAATATTGTTGTTCGGCGGCTAGCAGCAGTTCGTGTATTGCCGTTCGGGAGTTTGGAGCCATTCACAGATCACGGTCGGGAGATTGCCGCTTCCCCTGCATTTGGTTCGTATACTACAGATTAAGCGAACGGAGACTGTTACTGCAGACGGGGAAGGTCTACTAAACGGCGGTTTTTCCTAAAGACACTGGAGGTGTCTTAACAGTGGGTGGGGGCCCTTAACTAGAATAAGGGAGACGACCTGTTGTCCTCCCCTCCGGCCCTCACCCCTGAGTGGTGGGTGGGGGCCCTAAATACCAATAAAGGGGGGAACCTATAGTCCTCCCCCCTGGCCCTCACTCCGGAGCGGTGGGTGGGGGCCCCAAGTTAGAATAAGGGGGGGATCTATTAATTAACCCCTACCTACCCCCTTCACCCTAAAAATAATGAGAGGGGACCTATAACTAGGTATCTGTAAAAAAAAAAAAAAAAAAGTACCATTTGATGTTTTCTTTTTTTCTAAAATTTTCTTTTTTCAGCCTCAAAAAAGGCCAAATAAAAATCCATAATAATCGTCGCACTTTGATGAATAAAAAAAAACCTGAGTTCAAAAAAAGTAATCCATCTTCACCCGTGGAGGGCACCGTGCAGACTGAGTTCTGCTTGGTGGGGGAAGGCTTATAAAGCCTTGCCCCACCCTGCAATTAGGCTCAGAGCACTCTGGTTGGTTGGTTTAAGCCATCCAATCAGAGTGCTCTGACAGGTAAATGAAGAGACTGACAGGTAAGTCTCTACATTTTTTTTTTAAATTCTTTATTTTTACAGTGCATATTAAGTGAACAGACGCATGTGAGGTACCCCA